GAAGAAGAAGAAGAAGAAGAAGAAGAAGAAGAAGAAGAAGAAGAAGAGTAGTGGTAGTAGTAGTAGAAGTAGTGGTGCCCACCTTTAATCCTAGCATTCTGAAGGCAGAACAGGGTGATCTCTGAGTTCCAGGCTGATCTACATAGAGCAAGTTCCAGAACAGCCAGGGCTACACAGAAAAACCCTGGCTCAAAACAAGCAATCAAACAACCCACCCACAAATAATAAAAAGTACAAAGAAAGAAAAAGATCTATCCCTACTTTTAAATGTGTCTATGTGTGCATGCATATGCCCACGTGAGTGTAGGTGCCACAGAAGCCCTGGAGCTGGAGTTAGAAGTGGTTGTGAGTTGCCTGAAGTGGTTGGAGTCTGCTGGGACCCAGACTCCAGTCCTCTGGAAGAGTGGTATATGCTTAACCACTAAGCTGTCTCTCCAGCCAGCCCCTCCCTCTGCTTTTTTTTTTTCTTATACAAGCCATATATAGTGGCACTTAGGACGCTAAGACGGGAGAATAGGTGTTCCAGGCCTATCCTGGGGTATATCGGGAACAAACAGTCTCCAAAGAGTCAAGAAGAAACGCGAAGAGAGTCTAGGGGAGATGAGACCTATTTGGGAAACTTGGGGAGACTCAGATCTCTGAGGGAGAGATTCTCATTGAACTGTTCTTCCTATAGATAAGAACTTGACCTGGAAGGACAGGAAGAAGCTTATCAGCATAGGAAGTGCCTAATGGTGTCAATAAGCCACACAATTTCACACGCTATATTTCTTGGCAGAAGTCTAGCGAGTTTATTATTCTAAAGTTCTCTTGTGGGGAGGTGACTAGTTTTCCCTTTTAGGGCTTGGGGGCTGAAGATGTGACTCAATGCTTAGTGTGCAGAAGGACAAGGGATGGGAAGGGAAGTGTGGATTACAGGCCCTGACAATTTAGAAGATACCTACACACTTCTATCTGATAATTTCATTTCCAGTAATCTGTCCTGAGAAAGGTCCTTTAAGACGGCCAGGTAGGGTGGCACATACATTTCTTTAATCCTAACACTCAGGAGGCAGAGGCAGATAGATCTCTGTGAGTCTGGGGGCAGCCCACATAGTGGGTTCCCGGTCAAGGAGAGAGACCCTGCCTCAAAAACCAAAGAAAGAAAGGAGGGAGGGAGAGAGGAGCTAATGATGGCTGGTGAGGAGGCTCAATGGGTAGAGGACCTGCCACCAAGCCTGATGCCTGAGTCTGTTCTTCAAGACCCACAAAGTTGAAGGAGAAAACTGACTCCTCCAAGTTTTCCTCTTTTTAAAATAATTAATACTACTAATAAAATCACAACACTGCAGGTCCAGGGGATCTGATACTTTCTTTGGCCCTTTGCAGGCACCGGGCACACATGTGGTGCACATACATATATGCAGATGAAACCATCATCGATACATATAAAATAAACTTTTTTTAAAAAAATCCCACCTTTAAAAAGGGAAGTAAGTTGGGCAGTGGTGGCATGCCTTTAATCTTAGCGCTCAGCTCAGGAGGCAGAGGCAGGCGGGGAGGGGGGGGATCTCTGAGTTCAAGGCCAATCTGGTCTACAGAGGGACTTCAAAGACAGCAGAGAAACCCTGTCTAGAATGCACCCCCCCACACAAAAACTAAAACATAAAACAAAATCATAAAGGTATTTAATATAGGTTTCCTATCCCGGCCCTCCGTCCACTGTCTTCTGAATTTTTGGGGGACATGAACACACACGTACGCACCTTATAGCCTCCGATCCGGTGGTCAGGCTTGAACTCTTTGCCGTTTTTCAACCAACGCAAGGTGGGATTGGGCGTTCCGCTGGATGGGCATTTGAACTTCACCGTCTTGGCAGCTGGCACCGCATGCAGCTTCTTTTCCATCTTTTCTGGGGATGTCCAGTATGGAGCTACAGCTGTCCAAGAAAAGCCAAGGGGGGCAGATGAGGGTAGCGGGAGTGGTCAGACGCCAGGGCCCAAGCAGGCTCACACGCACCTCATCTATCTGCTCAATACCTCGGGCCGTCTAGCCGGGCAGGAGTCAGGCACCATGGCCCACAGGCCCTCTGAGCCTCTCTCCTCCCAGGCAGGCAGGCCTTTCCCCTAAGTCTCAAATCCCATGTCTCAAAGGCGGTAAATAGGTAGAAAACAGTGTCTCACGCCTACGGTTTGGTTTGGTGTTGTCTGTTTCTTTCTCCTCCGAGGAGGAATCATCGTCGTCGTCATCATCCTCCGAGGAGGGAAGCGCATCTGTGAGGAGAAGGGGGAGGTGGGCACTGAGGCGCTTCTGGGCATCTCTAGACTGTCATCAAACAGAAGCCGCCTCATCAGGACCAGCTCAGTGCAGTCACGGACAACACACCCACCCATCCCATAAGGACTCCCAATGTCCCCAAATTTTGTCTCAGTGACAGTCTCTGTTTAAGAACCGCACGCTCCAGGACTCATCTCAGCCCAGTGCACTGCCTTCTGCCTGGAGTCTGGACAGCTCCAGCAAGGCTAGCACTTTCCCCCCCAAATTTATTTAATTGTAGCCTATACATCAAGGCCTTTCAGCTAACAGCACCACCTGGGTACCCACAATAGCAGCTGAGGAATCGGTGTTCTTTGAACATCAACCACTAAGAAACCCATAGAGGTCTAGACACTCTGGGCCTTGAAGCTACTTCTAAAAACCCTACGATGAACAGGCTGCCATCAGGAGCCTCTAGTACGGAACTGCTGAGGGCTGGGAGCTGCCTACCTTTTCTTTCTCTCTCTCTCTCCTTTCCCACAAAGATTTCTTTGTAATTTCGGTGTATGTGAGTCTGCATGCACCATGTACATGCAGGAGCCCAAGGGGGCCAGATGGTATGGGATCCCCAGGAACTGAAGCTACAGCAATTATGAGCACACGGTGTGTGCTGAGAACCAAAGTCAGGTCCCCTGCAAGAATATCAGGGCTCTTAACAGCTGAGCCATCTCTCCAGTCCCAGAGCTGCCTTTTTCTAATCATTGATAAAGACAAATCTCTCACACGTAGAGATGCAGACCAAGTTGGTTTCAAAGTCACAGAGATCCTCTGGAGTGCTGGGATTAAAGGTGTGTACCACCATTGCCTGATATAACTGCCTTCACTCCCCAACTGGGATGCGCCCCATTTAAAAACAGACGGGGTATGGTGGAGCACACTTTTAATCCCAGCACTTGGGAGGTAGAAGCAGGCATATCTCTGAGTTTATAGCTGGTCTGGTCTATATTGTGAGTTCGAGGACAGCCAGGGCTGTGTAGAGAGATCCTGTCTCAAAAAAAAAAAGGCTTGCTATCCTTTCACCAGAGGTCTCTCTACTCCCCCTGCCACTCTTGGGGTTTAGGGAACCATGTTCCTCAATTGGGGACAAGTTCTAAATGATACCTGGGGAAGGTACCAAGCCATCTCTTGGCATCAGAAGTTCCACCTTTTCTTTCTCAGATCTTGGTTTTGTCAAAATCACATTCTAGAGGAAGCATAGTCCCAACCACAGAGCTCTAGGCTTGCCAGGCCACACTCATAATGTTCCGTGAGCTTGACAACAGGTGTGTTATTTCCCACAAAGTTAGGACATGGCAGGGTACCTGAGTCCTTCCCAGCACAGCAGGAACCTCACACCGTACGCTGCTCTTAGGTTCTAATCGCTAACCCTAGGCCTTGACAAGATGAAGCTGGCTGAGCCCCACTTAGCATGACCGGGGCGTGCTGTGGTGGGGGAAATCACAGGGTCTTCACAGCCCGAAGCATCAAGGTAGGATCTTAAGCAGCCCCAGGTCACTGGTCACAAGCCCTACCTGGTCAACCTCTTGAGAGCTAAGCCACGCAGCGGGCAGGGAGCAGTGTTAGTGGGCAGCAGTTCTGAAGCAGAGTAGGGGCGGATCACAGAAGGGAAGGAAACTGGCCTCCCTTTTAAAAACCAGCAAATAAAGTCGGAGGAGTAGACCCGGTGAGGGCTTTGCTACCAACCTGAGACATTGACGGAGAAGTAGGTGGTGTCGCTGCCAGAGGGGCTGCTGGTCACGCAAGCGTAGAGGCCAGAGTCGGCGGGGATGGAATCCCGCACCTCCACCTCCTCCCCCGTGATGCGGGTGCGGTTGCTCTCCGCCAGCTGCACCCCGTCCCGCAGCCAGTTGATGCTCTGCACATCGTCCCGCAGCCGGCAGCGAAGCTGTAGCAGGTCGCCAGGGTGGACCAGGAGAGACTCCACCTCCACTGGGGCTCCCCAGGGCTGAGCTGCAGCCACCCACAGGGGCCAGGAAGAAGAGCCAAGTGGAGAAAGGAGGAGGAGAGAGAAAGGGAGTTAGGTGAGCCACAGGGCACTGCACTGTCCGGGCCTCAGTGGAGGCCACAGAGCTGGGGACCGGACTGTGTACCCGCTGGAAATGATGGGCAACCTGAGACCCCCAGCTCTTCTCCTCCACCCCACTTCTCCATAAGTCAAAGAAGAAAGAGGTCGAAGTTAGGAAGCAGCTGCAGCAGCATTAAGCAGTGTTTCAACTTCCTCCATCCTAAGGGGGAAAGGTTTTCCTGTATCTGGAATGCCCCCTTCCCCAAATGCCACTCAGTTCTTTGCCAAGAATAGCCACTTCCCACCAAAACACCCCATTCCTTCTCAGCCCTCTCAGCTTTACCTCTTCCCTTAGTGGATAAACCCAACCCGTCACACCCCGGGCAGCCCCTACGCCCAAGATGAGAGCAGGCATTTGCTCGACCAGGACTCTGGGTACACATGACTCAGCGAGGGTGGGGGCCCGGCCCTCTAGCAACACAGATGCTCATGTGGGAGGGACAGCCAAGGAGAGGTCAGCTCAGGGGAGCCTCCAGAGAACAGGTGTTAGGCCCAAGGCCTGCAGCTGCCACAACAGCGCATTTGCTCTGGCAGCAGACACGGCACACATAAACCCTTTCTCATCCACTGCCTGGACGCACACTCTCCTGCACCCCGCTTTCCTCCTCAAGAGACACAGGGTCACACTGTGGTGGTGTGAATGAGAATGACCCCCTAAATGCGTATATATTTGAATGTTTGATCCCTAGTTGGCAGAACTGTACTGGGAAGGATTTGGAGGCATGACCTTGGAAGGTGTGTCACTGGTAGTGGGCTTTGAAGTTTCCAAAGCCCAAGTCAGGCCCAGTCTCTCCCTCCAATTTGTGTTTAACATGTAAGCTCCCAGCTACTGATCCGGTGCTGTGCCTTCCTGTCAAGCTCCCCACCTAGATGGTCATTGACTCACCTGAAACTGTAAGCAAGTCCCAAACTAAATGCTTTCTTTCTATGAACTGCCTTGGTTCTAGAGTCTCTTTGCAGGAACAGAAACGTAGCTAAGACACACACACATACGCACACGCATACACATACACACCTAGGCATCCTAGGCAGAAGTGCTAGAACTATCCTGAAGACCCGATGCTACAGAAAGCACCCACCCCCTTGTGGGTGAGCTGGCTCACTCAAGTCACCAGGAAGACCTAGATTCTTGGCACTACCAGCAGCCAGGCATACTGGCCAGATAAATCCCTTTGCCAAGGAAGAAGCAGAGAAGTTTCTGATCTTTTTGGATGTTCAAATGCACGACTAGCCTCTTCCTCTGAAAAAATGTACGAGGTAGCCAGGTGATAGTGGTACACGCCTTTAATCCCAGCACTCCGGAGGCAGAGGCAGGTGGTTCTCAGTGAGTTCGAGGCCAGCCTTGTCTACAAAGTGATTTCCAGGACAGCCAGGGCTGATACGCAGAGAAACCCTGTCTCAAAAACAAAACAAAACAAAACAAAACACGAATGCACTGTGCCTCTCATGCCTGCCACCTGCCTAGGTTCAAGAGGAATGGGGCGTAAGTCCCTGGGACTCTGAAACAGCTCAGCCCCTGCTTTGCCTCTCTCTAGGTTCTCACCAGTGTTCAGACTGGCAGGTACCTCCTCCTAGAATCCAGCTCTCACCACTATCTGGTGAGAGGACGGGACGGGTCGCCACCAAGAGCTGCCCAATTAAATACTTGTGGATCCAACGACCTGGGATCTCCCTGTTGTCTTTCTTCCCGGATCCCTCTGTCCTTTAAACTCCATCCTCAACTAACTACAAACTTGAGATCACCCTGTTTCTGCCTCTGTCATTTGGGGATTCTAAGTACCTGCTACTACATCCAGGCGTTTTTTTAAGGCAGAGTCTTTGTAGCCCTGGCTGGCCTGGAACTCAGAGATCCACCTGCTTCTTCTTCACCCCAAGTGCTGAGGTTAAGGGTGTGTATCGGCACACCTGTTTACACCCAGACTTTTATTTTCTGAGACGGAGTCTCGGGGTGTCTCGAACTCGCTGTGGCGTGACTTCCTCAACCACACTTTTTGGCAGTGCTGGGGGTGGCGCCCAGTGCTCTGCACGGGCCACCGAGCTACAGCACTGTTTCTCATCTCGATGAATATGTGTTTGTGTCTGTCTGTGGGCGTGTGCACATGAGTGTGGGTCCCTATGAGGGCCGGAGGCGTCAGATTACCTAACGCTGGAGTCATGCAGGGTTGTGAGTCACCTGACAGGGGTGGTGGGAACCAACTGGGATGGCTCCTCTGAGCTTGGATTCCCTCAGCCACCGAGCCATCGCCCCAGCATCTCCCTTCTCATCTGAAAGGCTCTTTCTGAAGTGCTCTACTGATGTGCACTAGAAACTGTAGGTACATGGGGGCTACACATGGTTTTCCTCCCGAAGAGCTCAAACGTTGTCGTTGATGAACCTGAGGACTCTCTCCTAAATACTGGGCCACCGAGAAAGTCAGACTCCTTTAAAGGGGTCTGGGTACCAGGCAGGCTAGACACATGTTTATTTCAGTGTATCTGGTTGAGGAACGCACCACAGGAGAGCAAAGCACACAGCTGGTTAAAAATAGCTGCGTCGAACTATTCCTTCCATTTTTAATGGTTTACGGGGTTGCCAAAAGAAGACAAACTGCTCGGCGCTGACCCTGAAGGAAGACAGCAAACGCTCCTCCTATTGATTCCATCTCATTTCCCTCGAGCGGGTCATGGTGATTAAATATTTTGATGCTCAGGAGCTGCACCAGCCATTGGTCAACGGTGAACTCAAAAATTCTCAGGCTCAGCAGTCCAACAGCCTGCTCACACAGGTCCCAGCGACAACAAGTAGTTCCCAAAGAAACTTGGCAAAAGAAAAAAAATTGACAACAGGCATTGTTCCTAAAGGAGGGAGCCAAGGAACCTGCCCTTTTGCAGGGCCAAAACTTCAGCCAGTGCTGACCAGCGTGGAAAAGACACGCATCTCTGTGCTCCACAGAACCTTCAGGAACCAGCTTTCTTGTTTGCAGGTTGCCTTCTTCCATTCGTAGAGCCATCTTGGGATAGCCTCTTACGTCGGGTTCATACTCCCCCATCCCCACACTCAGGTTTACAGTCTCTTACAGCTGTCCCCATCAAACACTTACCCTTGATATAAAGTAAAACCCAAACCCTCTTGGCCTCCACGGTCCCTATCAACCTGTCTTCCCACTCTACCCAACTATGTCCCTGCCTTGGACCCAAACTTGGCTGTGTCTTGGTACGGCTGCATCTTCCCCTGCATAGGAATTGAACTTTGGCTGACAGCAAACTAAACCTCTTGTGTTCTCCTGACTCAGATTAGGCAAAGTCTACCACCAGGAACATCCCAGCAGCGTTTAGTCCATGATAATGCTTAAGTTTTCATACTTAATTCAGTACAGACAAAAAAACCTTCGTCCAAAGGTTCTCCATTCATAGTTACTGAATCAGCAAACACAGAACCCACAGACATGGAGGACTGACTATATATTCAGAGTTAGGAAACCATCCCAAAATTCCAATTTTAGACTATTTTATCTCCTTGCTGCAAGAAAATTCATAGCCATAGACACCTGCCTGGCCTTTTTATAGCCCTAGCTGTCCTGGAATTCATTCACTATGGAGACCAAGCTGGACCTCCTATGTCATAGTATTTGTCTCAGTCAATCAGTCTGTCTGTCTGTCTGTCTTCTTTCCTTCCTCCAGTCCTTTCATTATGTTTGTTTTGTTTTCCGGGACAGGGTTTCTCTGTGTAGCCCTGGCTATCCTGGAACTCGATATGTAGACCAGGCACGCCTCTGTCTCCTGAATGCTGGGATTAATGGCGTGTGCTACCACCGCCCTGGCCTACTTCTTTCTTTTCAATGGTGGAATAGTGTTTTGGTGTATGATCCATCACATCCCAGGGACAGCTGGAAGACATCGGGAAGGACTGTCTCTAGTGATGACAAGTACCCATACCGTCTCCTAAGAACTAGCAAGTAACCCGGAACAGAACTGACTCTTACAGTGTTTTCATATCAGTTAACGGCAGGACACAGAAATGGGTCTTTTAGAGGACTCACAAATCAGCCAAGAGGCTGTAGGGCATTGGTGGCCTTTTAAGTTGATAGCAGAGCCCTTAGATGTGTTAAGCTCTCACAAAACAGAGACAAAGGGCTGGAGAGATGGCTCAGAGGTAAAGAGCACTGACTGTTCATCCAGAGGTCCTGAGTTCAATTCCCAGCAACCACATGGTGGCTCACAGCCATCTATAATGAGATCTGGCGCCCTCTTCTGGCATGCAGGCATACACGGACGAAATGTTGTATACATAATAAATAAATAAATCTTTAAAAAAACAAAAAACAAAACAAAACAAAAAAACAAAACAAAACAGAGACAAAGTCATTTATCATAGGAGGTGACAGAAAGGTAACCAACTAGACATTTACCTGTGTTACTGTCCTGTAGAGGGGCCCTGACCTTGAACCTTGACCCTGTTCACTAACGACCCAATTGTTAAAAATGGTGTGGCCCTTACTCATGTCCTTCTCTGACAAACAACACCTGGCATTCTCTTGCTTCTGTGAGCTGAACTTTTTCAGTCAAGACCAACAGGCTAAAGTTACATGAAGCAGGTTTATCAGCCAACGAGAGAGCAGCTAACCGCTACTTTTATTAAACCGGCTACAAAGGGTGAAGGCTCAGCCACTAGAAATCAGCATTCCAATTCTTGAAGAATGTGACTTAGATTAAGTACAGGACTAACCAACCAGCCAGATAGTTCAGGGTAAAGGCACTTACTTCCTGCCAAACCTAATGACCCATGTTTGACCCTTAGAATCCACCAGAAGAGAACCAATTCTTGAAAGTTGTCCTCTGATCTTAACATATACACAACAAACAAACATAAAGGTCTTCTAAACCCAGGCGGTGGTGGTGCACACCATTAATCCCAGCACTTGGGAGGCAGAGGCGGGCAGATCTCTGTGAGTTTGAGGCCAACTTGGTCTACAGAGTGAGTTCCAGGACAGGCAGAGATACACAGGTTTGATGCAGATGAAAAAAGCCCACGAAAACAGGCTGGGCCAGTATTCCCTGAGACGGAGGGAAAGGATGTGCTGGCCCTATCCTGCTTCTCAGACCAGGAGCAGAAGGGAGGACCACGCTTCAGTCATCTTCGGACTCAAAAGGCACCGGAAGGAGATCTTTTTCATAGGGCTTTTACATCAATGAATGTGAATGAAACCCTATTGCCCCCTTCCTATTTGTTCATCAAATATTCTGGCTATGTAACTTCCCAACAAGCCAAGAGGGGTGGCATTTTTGCTTATGGCTGAGCGGGCCAGAAATGTTCCAGTCATGTAGCAGGTAATTCTGGCCTAAGTCAGATCTCTTGACTCTACATCCGTTTTCTGACATGAGCCCTATCTAGGCCCAAATCCATACAAATCTTATTACACTTCAGCTTGTACGGCGGTCAATAGAAGACAGCCATTAAAGAAATCCCTGGGGACACACCTGTCTGTGGAGACCATAAATGCAGTACACTCATGCCACGTGAATAAAGAGAGCTGGAGAAGCATTCTATGTTAAAATATCACCTCCTGGGCCGGCAGGATGCTCATTTGGTCAAAGCCTGGCTTGCGCTCCCCCTCCAGGACTTGAGTGGTGGAGAGAACGGACTCCTACAAGCTGCCTTCTGACCGCCGCACGTGCACCGTGGCATACATGTACAAGTGCACACAGACCCCATTAAAAATAAGTAAATGCAATTTTAAAAACTTATAAAAAACATATCACGTCCTTCCCCAACCTAGGTTCTATAAAAACCAACTTGGGCTGAAGGCGATGCATATGCAAAGCCTACATCTTCATGTGACTCTAACGAGGTTAGACAACGTATTTGCAAAATACATTGCCATTCACCTTGTGTGAAGCGTCCCATCTCGGGATACTTAAACAACCGTGTAAACAAGATGCCCACACACAACGGAGCCACACTTTTCTCCAGGCTGTCATTTCATCTGCAAGCAGCCTATGGAGTTCACGGTGTACAGCTGGACTTCCTTTTGTGGGACTCCCGGCTCCCCAATAACGACGTGGAGACTTAATATTAACAATGAAAGCCTGGCCTTAGCTTAGGCCTTTTCCCAACTAGCTCTTACAGTTCAATTTAACCTGTCCCTATAAACCCACATTTTGTCACGCAGCTTGGTGGCCTCTGTCCCATACCCTTTCGACATCGAAGCCTCTAGTGACATCCACACTCCTTGAGTCTTTCTCTTCCCCTCTCTCTCTGAAGTCCCTCCCACCTACACCTCCCGCCTCGTTATTGGCCATTCGGCTCTTTAGTGCACCAATCACAGCAATACATGTTCACACGGTGTCCAAACATCCCACCACAGTTGTGCTCGCTCTATTGGATGGCTGTGGAGTGTATCATATACCACGTACCGTTGTCATCGTGTGCTGCCTCATCAAGCCCCCACAGCAACCCTGCGGAAGAGGGACTGTTAGTATCCTTATTGCAGTGAAGGAGAATGGAGGTGTGGGAAACACGGGGTTCATTTAGGACAATCCTCCCAGGCAGTAAGTGGGAGAACTGGGACTCAAACCCAAGTGCCCTGGACCTTCAGAACACACATCTATCCAGGATCCAGCGCACCTTTCGTTTACCTTGGGTTTTTGTTATTGCTGAGACAGAACAGGCTGGCCTTACATTTACCATGAAGCTCATAATGCCCTTAAATTTATGGCAAGCCTTCTGCCTTTGCCTCGGGAGCCATGGGATAGCATGAGTTACCACACACAACTTGCTTTCACCATGTCTTTCTAGCCCTTGACTGTTAGAGAATGGTAAAGCCATTTTACAGTTCAAAACAGCGATGCCATCTAATGGTCCCCGGTGTCCCCTTACCTTCTTGCAAGAGTTTCTAAATTGGCTGATCTGGGCTTATTCTCCTTCCCTCCCCCCATTTCCTCATAGGCACGGCTTATAACAATACCTTAAGAACGCTTTACCAGCCGGGTGGTGGTGGTGAAACAGGAGGATCTGAGTTGGAGGCCAGCCTGGTCTACAGAACAAGGTCCAGGAGAGCCTGGGCTGCACAGAGAAACCACGTCTTACAACAAGACAAAAAAGGATGCTTTTACCTTGCTGCGTGTAGACATGCACAACCACAGCTCAGATCCCAACCCTCAGGAGGCAGAGTCAAGCAGATCTCTGTGCATTTAAGGGCAGCCAGGGCTACATACCGAGACCGCCCCCCATATCTCAAAATAAACAAAGCAAAAACAAACAAGCAAAAAAATCCAGTGCTTTTAACTTGAAGGACCCCCCCCACCGACTGAGCAGGTCTGGGGATACGGTGTACCCGCCTCATGGCACACTGCCCTTTTGGGCGTTGCACGGGACACTCTACAACCATGTCTGTTCGTGATCATGCGATTGCTGCTGCTCCCCACTTGAAAGATGTGGAGGCTGTGCGCCTTCTTGCAAAGTCTCATAACAAAAAGGCTCGAGATGTCTGGTCAACTGTGCCCCAGGTCCCTCCCCCACACTTATCATGGCAAGTGTGTTCCTGACAGTGCGAGGTGACCCACTGGTGGCGTACACAGCAATGTCCTGGCCACAGGGAGACACTTCCAGCTCTCATGCTGTATGCCCTGGCTCAGCAGACACCTGTCTTCTCACCTTTCCATTGGCAGTTTAGAGCTGATAACCTCTGATGTCACCACTGCATCATCCCGGTACTCACCCCTCCATCACCCTCCTCCCCCGGGGCCACTGCAGAAGAATATTAGGCAAATGTGCCAGTCAGCCTTCTCCTTGGCCCAGGTCCACAGATGAGAGGCCGTCAAAGAGGCCCCGGCTCCAGGACACACATGACATGCTGGCCCCTGTCCTCTTACACGCTGAGATCCCCAGGTTCTCCTCCTCAGGAATCCAGAGTTGCCGGGCATGGTGGCGCATGCCACAGTCCCTAGCACTTGGGAGACAGGTAGGCAGATCTCTGTGAGTTCGAGGCCAGCCTGGTCTTTAGAGAGGGTTCCAGGACAGCTAAGGCTACACAGGGAAACCCGATCTCAAAAAACAAAACAAAATCCAGAGTCATTCTTGTTATCTCCTCTCCCCTTCCTCAGCGGTCCGGTCTCCCCGCTTCCTCGGTATACCTTATGTTTAGCTTTTTGCCTTCCTAGAGACTTTGCATCTCTTAAAGGTCTATCTCTAACAACAGCAGCAGCAGCAGCAACAACAACAAATTGCCTCGTTACTTCAAATCACTCCTCGTTCCTTCCTTGAACGCTCAGGAGGAAGGCTGGCATTCCAGGCTCTTTACCACTTGATGCGGCACTCAGGACTGAACACGGGACCTCCCACAGTCTGGGTAAACAATCTATCACCAGCTGCGGTGTGGTCTCTGAGAAAGAATCTCACTACATATCCCTGGCTGGCCTGAAACTCACCCACACAGACATCCACCTGCCTCTGCCTCCTCAGTGCTGGGATTAAAGGTGTGTGCAGCCCCTTTCTTATTTGTTCATTTTAGAGATGGTCTCCCCAGAGATGGTCTCCCCAGCCCTGCCCTGCACACCCCTCCCCCTGAGACATGATGTGGTCCAAAGTAAGATGCTCCTGCCTCAGCCTGGCCTTCATTTTGTTTTTAAATGTACCCCCGCCACGAACTTGAGAGTGTTCGTGGCTTCATTTGTATATCAGTCCTGTTGCCTGATTGCTAGAATGATCTACACAGTGCCGCATCCCCTCTCAAAGGTCAGGAATGGTAATGACATCTCAGGCACCACAGAACTCCCTCCACAAAATCCAGACACCGGTCCTTTGCAAGATATCCCAGGGTCGTCCCTGTTAATTGCTTTGGTTGGGACTTTGGGGTTAAGAAAATGAAGGGAGGGCTGAAGAGATGTCTCAGTGGTTAAGAGCACTGGCTGTTCTTCCAGAGGACCCAGGTTCAATTCGCAGAACCTACATGGCAGCTCACAACTCTATAATTCCAGTTCCTGGAGCTCCAACACCATCACACAGACATGCACGCAGGCAAAACGTCAATGCATATAGAATAAAGGTAAGTAAATATCTTAGAAAGAGGAAGGAAGGAAGGAAGGAAGGAAGGAAGGAAGGAAGGAAGGAAGAAAATGAAGGGGTAGCCAGGTGGTGGTGTCGCATGCCTTTAATCCCAGCACTCGGGAGGCAGTGAGTTCGAGGCCAGCCTGGGTAACACGCGGGAGATGGTGGTCTAGCAGCGTTCACCTGGGTAACACACGGGGGATGGTGGTCTAGCAGCATTCACCTGGTAACACGGGGGATGGTGGTCTAGCAGTGTTTACAGTCTTGGCACAAGCTCCCAGAGATAAATGAGGGAGCAATTGTGGATGTGGGAGGAATTCGGGGTGGCTTTGAAAGCAACTTAAAAGGAACCAAGAACAGCACTGCAGGACTCCAGGGGCCCTTGGTAGAGGTTTTTTATTACATTATTTTGACTTTGAAATAGAACCGAAAACTTACTTTAGTGAGACCAAGACAGACCAAGTAGTCGAAGTGAAATCCCAGGTGAGAACTATGAGGGACCAGGCTTAGAGAAGGAGCCATGAGAGATCTATGATTCCTAAAATCCCATCGATGAAGGGACGCTGCAAAAATGGGGGAGCATAGGTGTGCGGCTGGGTGGGGGGGGGAAGAGGAACGCCAATCAATTACCAGGGCCTGTCTCCCTGTCAGCAGCATCCAGGGCCCTGACCTGTGGGTTTGGACAGGTTCTGTTTTGTTTTGTTTCTGTGTTTTTAATAGAAAAGGGAAAGGAGCAAGGAGGAACATTTTGCATGCAAATGGGGCCGCTGCCAGAACAGCCCGTTAAAATGTAAAACTCCACTTTCGGCTGACAAAAATGGCGCAAACCGCGGGGCTTGCCATAGGGGCTGCAATAAAGCCGACAACAAAGGGGCCGAGGAACAAGGAGGGCTGAATGGCCTCTGTCAGCAGGTCCCCGCTCTCGTTGCCATGGGGACTCCACCGGGGCTTACTAAAGGTATTTCCTGAGGAGAAAGGCAGCACACACATGCCCAGGCAGCCGAGCTAATCCTGACAGGAAGCCACCACCATTCAGGAGCCCAGGGGCTTGGGGCTGAAGTTTTGTTTTGTTTTTATTAAGAAAAGATTTCAGCCTTTTGTGTGTCCCACCTCATCACTGTAATTTCGTGCAGAGCTGCCCATGATGGCCAAAGCCACAGATAGGGTCTCTGCCTCCAACACATGACCCCCCAAAATCAGCTCCCCAGGAGCTGGGCAGGAGGAGGTAACAGGAAGAACCTTACATGGGAGTCCCAGGCCAAGAGTTTGGTTTCAACCTTAAAACAAGACAAAGGCGGGCATCACAACTGTGTTCAATCGGGGCGCCAACTCTACCTGGCAGTAACATGCATGCCTGTACTTTTTCCCCACTGGCAATATGGTACCCAGGCTCTGGTGGCCCCCATTCCCACTGCAGCCCGGTCCAGCTGGAAGGATTGCAATTAAGAGATTAACAAAGGAATCAAGTCTTTCCTCTTCTCCCAGAGAAACTTCTGGCTCTGCTGATAAAACCCTGAACCAAGCAGGGGGGAAAGAAATCTTCCTGTACCCTTTCCCCCAGCTGGTTCCTCAATACATTTTGCTCCTCTCTCTCTCCCTAGCTCACTGGCCAGAAAGAACCTAAGAGAGGAGGTGGGGATTGCCCTGCAGCTCAAGGAAGGGCGGGCTATGCTCAGGGCTCCCAGAAGTTTGAGTCACCGTGTCTCAGTTGGCACCAGAAGAATGCAGCCATGGCAGATTCAGGGAGGAGAGCCAACAGCACAGCTGGCAGCGGAGACAAACTCCGGCGTGACAACTGCCTCCTAGGGCCGTGGAGGGCCCATGAACATTTCCTGAGCAATTCTAAATGGGAAGAGCCGTCCCCGGCGAAGAGTTAAAAACCCTAAGTGGCTCCAGATCACAAACCTGGGCCTGGGTGCTTGCAAAACCCACGCTTCCGGGGCGCTATCCTCCTCCACTCCACATACACATACATGCACCAACGTGCATGGCCTAAATCCTGACAAAATCAGAAAGGAAAAGAGTTTCTGGAAGCATTGAGACGGCCTATCAACACCCTCCCCCAACACACACGTGCACATTCGAACACACCCATTAGGAAGCTTCCGGGGCCGTGCTAGGTAGCTTCAATTTGGGGTTAAAATAGATGGAGACTGTGAACCGTCGTGGGGGTGGTAAGCAGGTGAACCCAGCCAGGTTCTCCTTCACCGGAAGTCACTTCCTAAGTACCCATCAAAACGACAATTGGTCACCAACCGGCAGAGCGCCTAAGGACCTCTCTGCCAAGTTGTTGGCCGGGGTGGAGTGGGGGTGGGGGTGTGTTACAGGGTGGTGGTCCTGTTGCTAGGGAGGTTGCTTGGACCCTCCCACTACTGGCAGGGAGCCCAGGCCTCCCAGCCCTGTGTCTGCA